AAATTAGGCAATCCATTTATAAACTTTTCTTTCCAAAAGGCTTGATTACTGTCTTCTCTCAGCATTACCCGGGAGATAAAAACATCTTTATACCACCTAAAATCACTTAATTGCGGACATCTAAAATTACTCAGTTGATTACTGTCTTCTCCATATAATCAATTCTTATGCCACCTTTTCTGCTTTTTTCTTTTAATCTAAGTTGAAAAAGAAGTTTTGTTGGACTCTGAATCATGAGCAGTACAATAAGGTCTAGCTAGATGCCATATACAAGGGCCACCTCTACATACTAACCACAAGATTAGGAGCAATATCCCTAACTTTTGTACTGCTTCTTTATTCCTTTCAACACCTCTGGAGACTATCTCTCTGCTCCTGCAAGTAAGTTTAAACAAGTTTCTATGAGCAAATATATATACAAACAGTATTTAAATTGGTTCAAAGGAAAAATGTACCCATAATGATGTGTTCTGTCATTAGCTTAAATATTAGGCTTGGCTTTACACCAGTTCAGATATAACTGCCAATATATTGACTCAAATTAAGTTATGGCTTTGTACTTACAAGGATCATCTTATTTGATGAGGATGCATCTTGTTGGTGCTCCTTCAGCACCAAGCAACCTTAGAGGCAAGCAATGCACAGAATAGTTTCCGGGTTGGATGTCGTCAAGCTTTAGGCCTTCCACAGGAATGATTTCCTGAGCCATATATTACCAGCATTTTGATTTAAAAGGAGCTTAATCAAATTCCAATTACATTGTAAAGAAAGTCAGGAAATCATAGACAAACTTGATTTGAAAAACAAAATATATATCTTGCCTCTGATTTTTTTAAAAAAGAACACATAGAAGAAGCTTTATTCTACCAAATAGAGAATCTTACCCTGCCTCTGAGAAAGGCAACATGAGCCGGAATTGCTTCATCATAGGTGGCAATGGAAAAGTAATCAGTTCCTACATTCATAGTCAGGAAAATCAGTGCAATCACAACCACTTGCTTTCAAAATGGTCAGAAACTTGATTATTTTATACCTCAACCGAATTACCCCCAAAAAAAAAAACAACAAATTAGTGTGTTACCAACAAGTTTGATGTCTGTGTTGTCTACTACCCATTTTGCTCCATCCTCCGTGAATCCCACAAAGCTCGAGTCGAATTCCTTTCGATGCATAAGCCGCCTATACAACAGAGTAATGATTATCAGTTTTATGATATGTCTTGTTTGCAGTGTTCATTTTGTTAATCAGATTCAGCATACAGATATAAAATCTTAATTACTTAATCTGAAATCCGAAAAGCTTAATCCTTAAATCCAAACCGACTTCATTTTGGACATAAGCACAATTCAGCACAAAAGCAACTATCAAAGAATCATATATATATTTCAAGAAAATTACAAAGAAAATATAAGTAGACAATCTTTTTTTCATTCTGCGTTACCTGTCAGTATTCAATGTCTTGAAAAGGACCCGGCGTGTACCCTTGGGAATATTTAAGTACTTCATAACTTCAGCTGTAAAAGGTAGACATTATGCATTTGAAAGGCTTCCAAAAAAAAAAAAAAAAAAAAAAAAAAACTTGAAAATTCATATTAAAATTTGAACAACACCAAGTTAGAAATGCATACCAGTTATGTTGCTATCTCTGGGAACATCAACAACAAGAGCAGGACCCGTTGAAAAAACAATTATACTGAGCATAAATCATCAACAGATAGAACAAATTACTTTGTTGTTCTAAGTATCATGCATAATTACCATTGAGGACATCCAGGTCAAGCTGATCAACATCAAACCCTGCGTCAAAGTAGTCATCAAAAACATGGCCAGGGGCATCAACATGGGTTCCAGTGTGGGCAGGCAGGTCGAACTCAGAGTTGTTGGTGAGAGAAGCATTCTTCATGCTGAGCTGGAGCCACAGGAAGTGGCCGATCCCATTCTTGGAACCATAGAAAGGAAGGTCCGGTGTGTACCTGTGGGTGATGTCAAAGATTCTCCCATTGCCGTACACTTCTCTCCTTACGGGTTTCGGGGTGTTGCCACCGCCCCCGGAACTGTAGACGGAGGAGGAAGAGAGGAAGAAGCAAGAGAGTGTGAGCAAAATGGAAGGAAGAACGGATTGGTGGTGGTTCATGGTTTTGGGCATGGTGGAATGAGAGTAGAGAGGTTGTGTTAAAGGTTGAAGTAAGAAAGAGGTGGTGGTTTTTTATGAGTAATAAATCAATAAAGTTAATGGTAATTAGTGATTCAAAATTGCAATCAAATTAAAGTTAATGGGTGCCAGATTTTTTTTATCTTTATGAGTGCGTTGACGCTTTGTACTAGACTTGGGCAACCTTTAGTTCAATTATTTAATCTTCTGTCATCAGTTTCGAGAAGTATCCATGACCAATCATGAATTAGATATCACATGAGTTGCGTATAGCAATTCTGCATTTGGTCCAACAATAGTACTGGAGACACCAAGTTTGCTACACCAAATTTTAGTTACAAACTTATGTGCCAATTTTCGTATTCGTTGTGAATGAATAAGGTTCAGTGTCTCAGTGAGTTCATAACTATTTGCTGTGAACGATAGTACTAACAGTCAATTGATATCTTAATATTTGTATAATAAGTTGGTGTCTCAAGTACTGATATAGTGGATGTTATTATTTTCCCGTTTAATACTTGTATTATACACGTATATATGTATTTTTAATAATATTTTTAGTTTATGTTCACATCTTAAAGACTCGGAAAAATATAAGTTTTTTTAAAAAAGTTAACGTACAATACACATATCATACAAGTACATACATATTTTTCACGTTTAATACATGTGGTTTATACAAATTTTTGAATAATATCAATAAAATTACATAATATAATTAAAATATTATATAATGACTTAATTTTTCGGTTGTATCTTGCCAAAATTTTGCTGAATAAAACACACCTATTCCTATTTTGTTCGTACTTTCCTCATTCCGTAGTTTACTAAACAGATAAATGAGAAAGACAAAACAGAGCAAGGATTCTCTTGTTTCATTAAGCCAGCTGGAAAAGTGACAAACAGAGCCAACAACATCCAAATCAGCAAGAACGCATCACGATTTAGAAAGACAAGACCTGGTACAAATTTCAATAAGCTCTCCCTACTATAGAAATTGGCCATTTTTCAATACTTGACACTAGGCGTGTGAAATACATGTAGCTGGGTCAGAAGTGCAGCTGCAATCAGAACCCTGAACTACGCAGGAAAAGGAATGTGGAAGTTGCAGCAGTAGAGGCTACCTCGTTGTCTCAACTTCTTTAGAGAAGAGTTTCACATCTAGAACTTCTAAGGAGCACAAATGGATTTAATGAAAACAACCTACTTGGAAGTGGGGGTTTTGGTTCAGTATATAAAGGGACACTTTAAGATGGAATAAATGTTGCAGTAAAAGTTTTTAGTTTACAGCTAGAATGGGCTTTCAAGCGTTTTGATAGGAAATGTGAAATGCTAAGCAATATTCGTCATCGAAATCTTATCAAAATCATCAGCTGTTGCAGTGAAGTTGATTTCAAAGCCTTGATACTGTACTACATGCCTAATGGGAGCCTTGAAAAATGGTTGTATTCTCAAAACTCTTATTTGAGTATCCTAGAGAGGATGAATATAATGGCAGATGTTGCGGTGGCAGTGGAATACCTTCATCATGGTTATTCAGTACCTATTGTCCACTGCGATTTGAAGTCAAGCAATATACTACTAAATGATGATATGGTTGTGCATGTTGCTGATTTTGGAATTGCAAAACTCTTGGGTGGAGGAGATTCTATAACCTAAACCATGACCCTAGCCACAATTGTAACACCCCGACTCTAAATTTATCCCATGTTTTAATTAATTTGAGTGAAATTAAGAATTTACCCGTGGGATATGGCTAATTTAGTCATTTTCTTATCCGGAAGGAATTTGGGAATTCCAGATGTACTGTTGCGTAGAGCACGGCGAGATGAGTTCGTAGACACGTAGTGGGCTCGAATCGGAGTTGTAACGAGAGAGTTACGATCAAATGAAACTCAGTGCCACGATCGTAAATATTTGAAAAATGGATTTTTGATAAAAAGACAGAATTTCCCTCATCTCTCTCTCTCTCCCCCTGCGCGTCTCTCTCTCCTCTCGCGCGACGACTGGAACAGCCGGCCACATTTTGGCCGGCCGTGCTCTCGTCCGGCCACCAAAGTCGACGGGGCTGGTACCAAAATGACCGGGCCGCCGTCCTCTTCCTACCCCAGCCAGGTCCTGCCGCCGGTCGCCGTGATTTCGCCGGAAAACGAGGAGAAAAGCTCCGGTTTGACAGAAACTTCGCCGGCTTCGTTCTCCGTCGTCCGGCCACCAATTCCGGCAAGTGAGGTATGGTTTCTCACCTATTTTCCGAGCTCTAGCTGCCTGTTGGGTAGGAATTGATCAATTTGTAACGTAGGCAACTCGATTTACGAATTAGGTTTCGGCCAAATTTCGAGGGGAGATTCCGGCCACTTCTGGTCATTTTTTAGGGTATGCCCAAGAACAAAAGTGACTCCAAATTAGGTGTATTATCTAGAGTAGGAGTCTTGGCTCTCGATTTGGAAGTTTTCCGGTGATGCGATATCGCTTTGGACAACCACGCGCTGCCGGCGCGTGTGGCGGCACGTGGGCACTGTAGCTGAGGGGAATTTTTGTCCCAATGCGATCCTCTCGTTGTCACGAGTGCGTAGGTGTGCTCGGATTTCAATTTGGATACCATTAGAGTCCCGAACAGATATCGCATATTGTGTATTTTCCGGTTTCGCTAGGTTTGGACCGTTGGATGGTCCTGAAGTTATAATATGTTGATCTAAGTATTACCAGGATCGTGTAGGATTCGACGGATCGTAAAACGGAATCCCGGATACTCCGGAAATGCCAACCCTAGGGTTAGGGTTTTAGTAACCGTCTGATCCTGCGATCGTGAGCGATCCGACCGTCCGATCTGGACCAAACTTGCAGGACATGAGTCCTAGAGCCTGTAGAACCTATAGGAACTTTCGGATAGAAATTTGGAGGTTGTGGGCCCCGCGTACCCGTTTGACCATAGGTTGACCGTGAGACTTCCGAGATAGTCTTACCATTCTTTGAGGGTTAGAATGACCTTAGTGACAAGTCTTGAGCGTTGTTGAGTTAAATGGATATTGTGGGTTTAGGATATAAATTGATGAATTTAAATGGGGGAGTTTATGGAATGCTTTATTGATTGAGGTTTATATAAGATTAGAAATTAGAAATTATATATTTAATTGTGTGGATGTATAAAGGTATAGAAAGGGATCGAATGTTAGTTTACAGTGCTATACGCACTACCCCACGTACACCCCATATTGTGATTATGTTGAGGCCTTTAAACCCGTGTGGCTGGTGAGAATGTAGCCAGGCCCAAGCTTGAGGTCGCACGTGTCGTAGGAGTGGCCGGCGTGTTGACAGACCCCATACGTGGCCGGGTGCGTCCCGACGTAAGAGGGGAGATATGATTGTGTGCGGGCTGGTGAGAATGTAGCCAGGCCCAGTGTTGAGGTCGCACGTGTCGTAGGAGTAGCTGGCGTGTTGACAGACCCCATACATTATAACACCCCGACTCCAAATTTATCCCATGTTTTAATTAATTTGAGTGAAATTACGAATTTACCCTTGGGATAGGAGTAATTTGGTCATTTATTATCTAGAAGGAGTTTGGGAATTTCGGTTGTACCGTTGCGTAGAGCACGGCGAGATGAGTCCGTAGAGACGTAGTGGGCTTAAATCGGAGCTGTAACGAAGAAGTTACGGGCAAAACACCACCAGTGGCAAAATCGTAAATATTTTGAAATGGGTTTTTGGTTAAAAGACAGAAAAGCCCTCAACTCTCTCTCTCTCTCTCTCTCTCTCTCTCTCTCTCTCTCTCTCTCTCCCGCGCGTCTTTCTCTCTCCTC